CCCCAAAACCCCAAAACCCCGTCATTTAAGAAGTTTAACTAGATAACTTCAAAAAATTATTGCAGTATAGATTAGTGATTTAATAAAACTTATATGCTACTATGAAATTTTAATGGAAATAAACATTTTAATAACTAATTAGAGTTGCAATCAGTTTCATTGAAATGACAACTCAAATGACCTTGTGAAATTTCAGTAAAAATTTAATAAAGTCTGTTTTTCTCCCAACCATCGATGCTTCTTTGTAGAGATGAAAAGGGATATCTATCTGCTTAAAGCCTCTATGCTTTAAGAATTTCCTTCTAGAAAGCTCGGTTCCTTTTATTTCTGGATTGAGAAACATCTTTCTAAAGTGCTTTGTCGCTCTCATGTCTAGCTGATGCTGAGAATCTTTACAACCATAAAAAAGTCCGTTGTGACATACTGCTTGCCTAATATCTAGTGGTATCTTAAAGTTTTCATACATGAGCTGGTACAGACTGTTAAAATATACCTATCCTTTTATATCATGAATTTTTTTGTTAAGATCTACAGTGAAATCCCATTTACTCTAAAGTTTAGCTTCATCATCCAAAATTGAAGGGTCATAAAGATAGTGACAAGGGCCATTGAATTCAAAGATAAAATCTTTATACCTGAAGTCTGCTCTATAAAAGTTATCTATTAGTTATTCTTGCATTAATTCATTATGGACTATTCCGAACCCTAACAATTCTTTTTTAACATCATCTATGAAATGCTCTGAGGGGAACCCTTAAGCTCTTAGTATGGTTTTATCAACCATAGATTTCCTTCTTAAAATTGGGAACTCATCTTCACGAATAAACTTCCAGTAAGTAAGTAGTCCAACTACTTATTAAATTATGCAACAACTTACTATGCTTAGCTCTTAATCTGATGAACAATTTGCATAATAACCTTCAAATTCCTTTAAAAATTAGACAGCAAGTTCATAATCTCCCATTTTGTACAAATCATAAATAGCGTTTAGCATAGATCCATGGTAGTCTGGATCTAGTTTTTTAAAGTTCTAAAATATCTTTCGCTAGAGATATAACTTTACAGAGCTATAAGTCTCTTTCCCTAATCTATCTATAATTATCATATTTTACAGAGCAAAAGATAATTAACGAGGATTCATCTTATCAATGTGACCTTCATATTTTTTGTTAAGAGCCTTTGCCAGAGGGAAGTAGGCATAGTTATTGATAGCCATTGTTTATGATATATAGAATGCTTATGACAGGAATCCTGAATTAATTTTATCTTCTACTTTAGAATTGATAAGGAACTACATAACTTAAGTGTTGAAAAAAGATGGGATGAATTTTGATTTTTAAAGTTTATTGATAGCTGATTAGAATGAAATTATCTGGTCCATAGACATTTCAGGAGCTCTTTCAATAAAGGTCTGAACTGCTTTTTCTAATCCATATTCTTATCTTCCCAGAAGATAATTAGGCTCAATATTAGCAAGAAATTAAATTAGATCCTTAGTCTTCATCTTTGAGATGTAATTGTTATCAACTATAAAACTAAGACATTTCTTGTACATATCTACCTTTTTGAAATGTCCTGTCTGCATATTTTTGCATATAGTCATCAAAGATAATGCAATATACTCGTCAGCGGTATCTCTATTGCCTACTTTGACTTAAAATAATTATTCTAATTCGGCTAATACCTTTTAAAGTAAGTCTAAATCATCTGAATATATATCAAGTTACTCAAATGAGTTTGTGAGATCAATAAAATCTTATTTTTTGGAATATCCCTTCACTAGAAGATCAGAATCTGTATGTTTTAGATGGTTAAGCATTACTAAATAGTCAGGAATCATTTCTTTTGCAAATTTCCTAATTTTAGATTAATCTTTACTATAAGCTTTGTTAAATCTAATTGCTCTCTTCATAACTCTTGAGATGTATGCAAAATTGTCCTTATTTTGTTCCTTTTTGTAATCGTGATAGCTAACATCAAAGAATTAGTCTATCTATTATTTTAGAACTTAATTTATTGGAATTTTTGATTAATGATATTCTTATAGATGAAATTTAATATTTGAAAGCAACTCATAGGCTTTACACTATTGCTAATCTTTTTGAATAGGAACTTATTGAATTAGTTCAATATTCTCAGTAGAATTTAAGAACTATTGATTTTCCATATTTATCAAGTTAACCTGAAGAAATTTATTGTGAATTTAATAATATTATACAATTTTATTTGCCTAAATTGCTGACTGAAGGGGTTTTGGGGTTTTGGGG